TCTCTCTCTCTCTCTATCTATCTATCTATCTATATCTCTCTATCTATCTATCTATCTATCTATCTATCTATCTATCTATCTCTATCTCTATCTTTAGCCCCTTCTCATCGTACCTATCAGTTGTCCAGGATGATGATCAGCTCCAGCCTCAGAACCCCTTCCAGTTGCTATAGAATCCTGACTTGCATTCCCCTCGTCCTTACCCGCTCTCCCTTCTCTCTGCATCTCTCTCTCCCTCTTTCTCGTCTCTATTTCGCCCTCTCTCGCTGCCTCCTAGTTTCCCACCACGCTCGACCGGTCCACGCTCGGATTACGTCTGCTGCGCCATAGAATCTCTCTCTCTTCTCCGCCCCCCTCACACAGCAACTCACTTGAAACCTGCCCGCCCGCTAGTCATCCATGCGGTGGCAGGCTCTCGGTTTCAGCACGTGGTCACATGCACGCGTCCGCACGAGCCCGGACGTGCTGCATGAAATCCTTGGAAACCAGTCTTTACGTACATGCGGATTGCATGCAGAAAAGAAAAGGATTGCAAAATATATGGCAGAGTGAGAACTCTGCTGCTTTGTTTGCCCGTTTCCTTAGGTGAGGTAATGGGCAAACAAGGGTGGCAGAAGGGGTGGGGGGGGGAGAAGGGGAGGTCTCTCTTTGGCGATGGGATGAACGAGATAGCGACGGACCTGTCGAAAATTCGTTTTTTAACAAGCGCAGCACCCCTGCCCAGCATTCGCGCTCAAGGATGGAAGGCTCGTCTCAATATCGAGGTTTGACGAGTCGTCTGGACTCCGCGGTCGGAGATTCAGGAAAGGGCACTAGCCGCACCATCTCCACGAGGCATAAGTCTACATGCATCTGGACGCCCTCAGGACCAAGTGCATTGGATTGGACTCGGGTCGTCTGTATTCGGAGATTCGGGAAAGCTGGCCTTATTATCGAGGTTTGACGAGTCGCCTGTAGTCGGAGATTCAGTTCAGGAAAGGGCACAACCTCCACATGCCATAAGTCTGCATGCATTTGGACGCTCTGAGGACCAAGTGCGTTTGATTGGACTCCTGTCGTCTCTATTCGGAGATTCAGGAAAGCTCGTTTCGTTATCGAGGTTTGACGAGTCGCCTGTAGTCGGAGATTCGGTTCAGGAAAGGGCACTACCTCCACGCGGCATAAGTCTGCATGCATTTGGACGCTCTGAGGACCAAGTGGGACTCCGGTCGTCTGTATTCGGAGATTCAGGAAAGCTCGTCTCATTATCGAGGTTTGACGAGTCGTCCTTAGTCCGGAGATTCAGGAAAGGGCACTACCTCCGCGAGGCATTAGTGTAAATGCATTTGCAATGGACGCTCTCAGGACCAAGTGCATTCGATTCGACCGAGTCCAACATTCTGAATGAACTGTGCCCAGAAAGCGACTAAATGCATGGAAAGTAGTGTGTAGTGGAGCCAGCCCCGAACAGATCCTTTTTGAAATATCCTGTCGAAAATTCCGGTCAACCACGGTAAACATTTGCCCTTCGAGCAAACAGCCTAGCTCAGTTGGTTAGGCATGCAAGTGGCGTTATCCCCACTTTCCACCTGCGGCACTCTTGGTGCCAACCAACTGAGATAGTTGGCTTGCTCCCCCCGTTAGGTCTTGGTAGGCTCCTTGGCCATCACGTGTGTGTAGGGGGGGAGGGGGGGGGGTTGTGTGTGGTGTGTGGGAGAGTGTTGGCCATGGACACTGCTGTTACTCGATGGGGGCAGGAGACATGGATGGAAGGCCCAGCTACTGGCAAAATGCTTGGTCTTTGTGTTAGCCAGCCCACCCCCACCGGCAGGCCCACCCTACTCCCTGACCGCTGCTAGCATAGGGGTCAACATGCATCCCCGGGGGTCCCCTGTATAGGCTTAGGAGTAGTGGTAGGTACGTAGTGAAAGGTGGAACTGAGAAAAGAATATACCTTAGTTTTAAGAAAATCAAAGACTGAAAAAATGTGTTTCCAGACACTTCCCGGCCGCCATGACAACACACCTGGAAGCTTAGTGGTGGACCCCACACCTTTGCGGCCTGCCTTGAAAGGTTTCCTGTGATGACAAGCGTTTGGACCCCACACCTATTGCCCATTTGATTTTCATCTTAGGTACTCGTCTACTGTTGGGCAAGGGCCTTCCTTGGGCCTAGTACGACTGTTTGAAACCCACCAGCATGCCATGGAATCAATACTTTCTGAAACCCGCAACTTTCTGCATGACTGTATTTCGGGGGTTGATTGAGAGGGGCCCACCCAATTGCACAAATCCCCCGGTCTTTTTGGGAAGGCTTGGTCCCATGGTGGTTGGTAGCTGGATCGCGCCTTAGTGAGCGCGGAAATAACTGTTGTCGTAGCTTCTTTTTCATTCGGCTAGAAGTAGGGAAGGGAACTTTGGCCCGATCATTGTGCGGGAAAGATCTTTTTGAATTATGAAACACGGGGGGAAACAGGAATTAGGACTTTAATTGAGTTAGAAATTGGGGGCATCGTAATTTTGTCGCGGATTTTTTATGTTGTAACTGCATAATGCTCCTTACTCGCTCACGCATTGCTGCGTTCTGTCTTGCGCTTTACTCCCGCCGCGCCTAAATTCTAATTGTAACTGTAATCTCTTCTTGCTCCTTAGCGAGCGCGGATGTAACTATAATCCTCTCCCTCTTGATTTCCTTCCGCACTAAAACCTGCGCCTCTTTCCTGTTTATCGCATTGGCCGAGAAGATGCATGACTTGGTCAATGCGTGGAGAGTGGCCACGCCCCCCACGCCGCTCCCCCGTCATGCATCTATAGGCACTCCCTTCTTCTCTCTTCCTCCTGCTTCAGCGCAATCCAGAATTATCTCTCGCAAATGTCGAGTGCTATATATTTTGCAGGAATGACTAATTTCATCTCTAATCTACACTTGGGAGTTAGCACGGTCGAGAGGACCGGCTAACGAGCAGAGGGGAGAGGGTGAGTAGGGAGTTGGGCGATCCGACGGGCTGGTGCTGGGTATGCGGGGTTGACGTGTGGTCGTGATGGACTGTGGCACACAGGATAACCTGGTTTGCATGCTCGAACGAAGCGGGGTAACAACTTGGGGTTGTTGGTAGGTGTGAGGCGACGGACTGGCCGCATCGGAGAAACGTTGAGAGAGAGAGAGAGCGTGTTGCATTGAAGTGGATCTATATCTTCGTATCCTCGGTATAATTTTGATGTTGGTGTTGATTATCTTCGTTTTCAGCAATCTTTGAAAACAAAATTCTTCGTTTAATGTGTGAATTGCCTCTTTCTCCCTCATCTCTTCTATGTGCCCGTTCAACGGGCAACGGGTTTTGTACAACTCCGTTGTACCCGTTGTACACCCCCGGGGTCCCCGTTGAATCCCCGTTGAACGGTACAACGGGGGCTTCCCGTTAAAATCCGATCAACAGGTCGTGACCAATAGGCCTCGGACACGTGGCAGGACACGTGTGGAAAAAAAAAAGTGAAAAAAAAAGCACAAAAACTACCCTCTGTGTGTGTGTGTGTGCGTGTGTGAATGTGTGTCTGTGTGTGTT